ATGTATATTCATTTATTTATTATTTAACCAACACATATTCTCACAGAAAAATTAAAAATGCAAATAGATTGGAAAAATTTACATCTAATATCACTACCATGATATAACCCCATTTTGATTTTTATCTTTCTAGACTTTCTCCAAAGCCTATACATATTAATAAATATTTACAAAAGTAGGATTATACTATAACTTTGTTTGGAAACCTGTTTATGTCAATTCATATATTCTGTACATCTTTTTATTTTTTAGTACATCTTTCTACAATAATAAATACACATCTACATTATTATTTGAATTTTTTTCTTTATTGATTTTAGAGAGAGAAAAGGAAAGGGAGAGGGAGAGAGAGAGAGAGAAACATTGATTGGCCGCCTCCTGCACGCCCCCACTAGGGAATGGGCCCAAAACCTGGGCATGTGCCCTGACTGGGAATCGAACTGGCAACCTCCTGGTGCATGGGTCAACGCTCAACCACTGAGCCACACCAGTCAGGCCCCATTATTATTTTTATAGCTGCTTAGTATTTAGGTTGATTCCCATTCATCATTGTGATAAACACTGTTGAACTGGGATGAATATCTTTGTGGTAACATAATTATGTACTTGTCCAACCATTTCCTTGGGACTAATTCCTATAAAAGGAATTACTGAGTTAAAGAAAGTAACATATGTAAGGTATTTGTGCATAACAAATGGCAGGTAGCTCAGTTGGTTAGAGTGCGGTCCTGATATTCCATACGCCAAGGTTGTGGGTTTGATCCCCGGTCACGGTACATCCAAGAATCAACCAATGAATGCATAAAATAAGTGGAACAATAGCCCTGGCCAGTGTGGCTCAGTTGGTTGAGTATCATCCTGTTCAATTCCCAGGCAGGGCACATGCCCAGGTTTTGGGTTCTATCCATGGCTGGGGTTCATGCAGGAGGCAACTGATTGATGTTGATGTTTTTCTCTCTCCCTCTCCCTTCCTCTCTTTCTGAAGTCAGTAAAAACATAAAAAATAAATAGGTGCCCCTGGCCGGTTTGGCTCAGCGGTTAGAGCATCAGCCTGTGGTCCTGAGAGACACAGGTTCGGTTCCCGCTAAGGACGCCTACCTCGGTTGCAGTTTGTCCCCGGCCCTGGTTGGTCATGCGGGTGGCAGCCACTCGATGTGTCCCTTTCACATCGATGTTTCTATCTCTCTCTTTCTCTCTCTCTCTCTCTCCCTCCCCTCCCACCCTACCTGAACAAAAAATGGAAAAATGTCCTCGTGTGAGTATTTAAAAAAATTTTTAAATAAAAAATAGCCCTGGCCGGTTTGGCTCAGCGGTTAGAGCGTTGGCCTGCAGTCCTGAGAGACCCGGGTTCGGTTCCCGCTAGGGGCATGTGCCTCGGTTGCAGTTTGTCCCCGGCTCTGGTCAGTCGTGCAGGTGGCAGCCACTCGATGTGTTCCTTTCACGTCGATGTTTCTCTCTCTCTCTGTTCCTCTCTCCCCCTCCTACTCTACCTGAATAAAAAATGGAAAAATGTCCTCGGGGGAGGATAATAAAAAAATTAAAAAATAAAAAATAAATAGGTGGAACAACAAATCAATGTTTCTGTCTCTCTCACTTCCTCTCTCTAAAAAAAATCAATGAATAAAATATATTTAAAAAAATTGCTCTGCAGCAAAGGTGCTTGGCTGGTCTTTGTGTTGTGTAGAGATGACATGAATTAATAGTGATGATCAATATTCCATTATGCTTTTTAACTCCAACAAATCATGCCTAGTCATTCATGTGATAAGGTCTAGGGGTTGTTTAGAGAAAGGAAGGTACCCCCTTGAGCTTTCTATGGAGCAATGCATGGTAGACAACGGTTTTTCCATTTAATAATCTTCTAGATTATTTTTTTATCTTGACACGTCTTCATAGCTAACTACGTTCCCACCAGGCATTCCTGGAGAGACTTCTGTATCTTTAAACTTGAGTTCAGGTTCAGACCAGGCTTTGTCTTCTTTTTTGGTATATTTTCATTGATTTTAGAGAGAGAGGAAGGGAGAGGGAGCGAAACATTAATGTGAGAGAGAAACGTCAATCGGTTGCCTCCCGCATGCACCCTGACCGGGAATCAAACCCACGACCTTTCAGTGCACAAAATGTGCCTCCAACTAACTGAGCCACACCAGCCAGGGCACAGGCTTTATTTTCTCAAAGTCAAAGCTAGCTCTGCAAGTGAGTATGACTTGTGTGTGGCCTGGTTAGCTTTGTGCAGAAGGTTCTTACAAGAGGGGCAGACTCTTTGCCATTATGTAACCTCTTACCTGTTTGCTAGCACAGTTGTCTGGCACATGTTGGACCCCCAGGAAATATTTGTGGCACAAATTAATAAACTTACTATCTTTAGCTTTTGCTACTTTCCTATTATGTAAACTCATGACACATTAAAATAGGGCTATTCTTGCCGGGCCGGTGTGGCTCAGTGGTTGAGTGTCGACCCTGCACCAAGAGGTCACTGGTTTGATTCCCGGTCAGGGCACATGCCAGAGTTGTGGGCCTGATCCCCAGTGGGGGGTCATGCAGGAGGCGGCCAATCGATGTTCTCTCTCATGGATGTTTCTATGCCTCTCTCCCTTTCCCGTCATCTCTGTCTAAAATCAATAAAGAACCCCTGGCCAGTTTGGCTCAGTGGTTGGAGTGTCGGCCTACGGACCAGATAGTCCTGGGTTCAGTTCCCGCTAGGGGCACATACCAAAAAATAAAATATGAAAGTAAGGAAAAAAAATTTTTTTTTAAATAGGACTATTCTCTATTTAAAATAGAACTATTCTCTATTTTCCTCTTTGAGAATAAGTCTTAATCATCTTTGGATTTCAAGCTGCTAGCACATAGTACGTTTTTAGTACAGTGTTCATTTCATTCCCTCTGTAAGGAGTTCTTCATTCAGCCCCCACTTCAGCCAGACACTGGGCTTTGAAATCTTAGCTGTCCTTGAAGTATCAGCTCAAAAATGCCACATCTTCCTTGGTTACTCCAGCCAAAAGATCAATAGCTAATATTTTTTGCAAAGTGTTTTTATTAATTCTCAACCATTCAAATTAGGTATTATTGTTCCCATTTTACAGTTCAGGAAACAGAAGTAATTTCCCCAAGGTCAAACAGTAGTAAATGACAAAGCCAGGAATCAAGCACAAATTACCTTAAAGCCATGTCCAAAGCCACTCAGCTCTACAGAGGTATCCCCCTCTTTCTGCACTACACTCCTTTCAGTATGGAATCTGTCACGTCATCTGCACGTTTTCATACTCTAGTGGGCTGAGAGCTCCCTGAGGAGCTTGTATTTCCAAGGCCTTGAAAGTATCTAGACTTTGGTTGGTGATCCATAAGTATGTATTGATTGACTCGTGGTCCTTGTTTCTGTCTGTGTCTAACATCCCTGCATAGCAGGCACACAGAATCAAGCAGACTCATTTCCACAGATTAGAACTCTTCCTGCTCTCCCACTATGGGTGCATGTAACTCAGGCCCTACAGTTCTTTATTCTTCACGAGTTGTGTGCTTGTCCCTTTATTTATTCATTTATTTATTTATTTATTTTATCCTCACCCGAGGACATTTTTCCATTTTTTATTCAGATAGAGCGGGAGGAGAGGAAGAGAGAGAGAGAGAAACATCGACGTGAAAGGGACACATCGAGTGGCTGCCACCCGTATGACCCAACCAGGGCCAGGGACAAACTGCAGCCAAGGTACATGCCCTTAGCGGGAACCGAACCCGAGTCTCTGTGGACTGCAGGCCAACACTCTAACCGCTGAGCCAAACTGGCCTGGGCTGTGTGCTTGTCCCTTTAAACTGGCAGCACCGCAAGGACAAATCTTACTTGTGTTTTATCGGTTTATCCCAAACTCTTGGCTAAGCAATGAGTTTTTAATAAACGTGAATTAATATTCTGTTACCCCTCCCCATCATCAGATGGACTGCTGAAACTACCAGGCACTCCTCCTCCCCCAAACACAAGCTGGCCCAGAGTACAGATATTGGGGATCATGCCCCTGGTCCGCTGGAGCATAGCCCCAGCCAAGGCCCTACCAAGCTGGGAAACAGGGTTTAAGTTTCCGCCTCTGGCAGCTTGGCCTTCGTAGGGCTGTCGACCTGTCCCTAGTCTTAAGTCTCCCCGTGGCCTCTTTTGTCTCTGCCTGTTTCACTTTATTCCTCTACCTCTAGACCTGTTTCTCTCCAAGCTCTGCCCCAATGACTTCATACCTATCTTATCTGTTTCTACATCTGTCTCTGGAGGCTCGGTTTTTTTCGCCTGCCGCTGTCTCTCGGTCTCTCTCAGCCTTTGCGTCTTCTCCGACTCGGTGCTCTTAGGTTACACTTTGTGTCTCTGGCTCCGGGGTCTCGGTTCCATCTGCCCGCCTCACCCAGAGGCGTCCCTAGAGGCATCCGCCACCAACCTCAGCTCCGGCCTCGGCCTCTGCTGCCACCGCCCCCAGCCCAGCCCCCACCCCCGCCCCCACCCGGCCCTCGGCTTCTCGGTTCGGCGGGGCTTTGTTTCTCGAGGCTCGGCCGGGCCGGGCTTTGTTTCCTGCGTCTCGGAGCCCCGCCCCCGCCCCGTCTGAGGTCTCCGCCGCCCTTTGTCTGCCTGGGTCTTCCCCCCACCCCTTTCCCGGGTCCGTATTTAGATCTCTTTGTCTCTCTGGGCCGGGTGGTTAGCACTGTCAGCCGACCCCGCCGGTCCGCGCGGGTGGGTGGCCCGACCCAGCGACAATTAGGAAGAGTCTTCGCCCTCAGCACCCGGCTCCAGCCCAGGAGGCACACGGTTAATACCACCGAGTTCGGGCCACCGTCCTCGGCTTAGAGCAGCCCTCTCCGCGACAGGCGGCCGCCCGCCGGCCACTGAGCTCAGGCCGACCGGGCAGCCCCCACAGGCGTGCAGCTCCTCCAGGTCCTAGAGCGGCTCGGTGCTGCCCAGCTCTTCCGCTTCCCGTCCCCGCCCACGGCGGCCGCCCCCGGGACGCCTGGGGCCGAGCCCCCGCCCCGCCGGGCACGGAACCCGCATCCCAGAGCCGTCGGTGGCTCAGGTCCCCGAGCCCCAGCAGGGAGCTCTGGAGGGTACCGGTGTGGCGGAGCCGGAGGCGGCCGGGAGGTGAAGAGCGGCTGCGTGCCGGAAGGAGCAGCAGGTGCAGGGGCGGCCGGCGGCGGGGGTGGGGAGGGGGGACCGGGAGCCGCGCCCTGCACCTCGGACCCAGATGCTGCCCGGTGCCCGTGCCAGCCGGCAGAGGGCAACGGCAGGGCGCGGGCCGCACATGGCTGTGTGACCGTGGGATTGTATGTTTGTCCCCTTGCTCAGGGCGGCGTGCCTGCGATGGAGCGCGCGGTGGAGCCCTGGGGTCCAGATCTCCATGGCCCGGAGGAAAGGGAGCAGCTGAGAGGCGCCCGAACAGGTGAGGGCCGCGGTCAAGCGCCGCCATGTATAGGTAATACCGGGTTGAGGACTGCGATACCTGGCTCTGCCTGACCATGACCCCAAAAAATCGGTAATGATCTGTGTTTCCAGGGAGAGAGGGGAAGGGAAGCAAAAACCAAGGAGGGAGTCAGTGTTTCCCTTCACCTACTGTGCGCCACGCCAGGAGGGAAATCATCTCAAGGACTCTCCCCTCCCTAACAGTCATCACAGCCCTCACTGCCTCTGCCCTACTTCGGGCCTCATTCCACTTCATCAGGCAGTGTCAACAGCCTCCCCTCGGGCCCTCTTTCCAGTGATGCACTCTGCAACCACATTGATCTAAGTCTAGATCTAATCCGGTCTCCCGTCTCTAAAACCTTGTCTAGCTCCCTTCTGCCTACTAATTAAGTGTTCAGTTCAGCCCCCAGTTTTCTCCATGGTTTACTTTTTTCTTGCTTTTAAAGCTGTTCCTATCTCCTTATTTTCTCTCTCGTGACAGCACAGTTATTCTGAGCTCAAAAATATAATTATTTTTGCTTTGCCTTATCTTGCCTACTAACCCTAAGCATCTTGAGGGATAGGTGTGTGTCTGGGGCCTTTCAGATAAACACAGATGACTGAAGTAATAAATTACATAATGGACTAATATAAAAAGATATAATTGCAATAGCAAATACTAGTTTTTTCGAAGAGAGAAAATGTAATGTAGTGGTTAACACAGGCTTGGGGATCAGACACACCTGAGTTAGAAACCTGGCTTTGCTACTTTCTAACCTTTATAACCTTGAGCAAGTGACTTAAATTCTCTGAGTCTCCAAATGGGGATAGTAATAGTATTACATCATAAGATCATTTGCAGGCGTTCAGTAATGCTTAGTTCAGTGATTGGCACATATTAACGTCATGGTAAAAGGAAATTACTATTATTATTATCATTGTGTGTGTGTGTGCGCGCGTGTGTGCATGCGCGTGTGAACGTGCAAATGTCCTGATTGGGAATCGAACCGGCCACCTCTGGGTGTATGGGACAGTGCTCAACCAATTAAGCCACCCCTGCCAGGGCAGGAAATTATTATAAATGAGAGGCACAGGCAACAGAAAGTTTTTTTAGAAATTTAGAGGAGAGAGAGATCCCTGTGACCAGGCTGTCAAGGAAGCCTTTCTAGGGCTGAGCCAAAGAGCAGGTCTACAACTCCCTTTTCTTTCCCCAGGTCTAGGTGGTGAGAATGTGGAGATGTCTCAAATGGATGATTTTGAACATACCCCACAGGAGGATGACTTGGAGTTCAAAGAAGAGGAAGATTTGGCTGCAGGTCATGAAGTAGGAGATGCCTCTCTCAAACCTGAAGGCATCCAGACCTGGGATGACTTGTGGGTCCAGAGAGAGGGACCAGGAAAACCTCAGGCTCGAGACAGAGGCCCCCGGCTCCTGGGAGAACCACGCTGGGGCCAGGCTAGTGATCGCGCTGCTGTATGTGGCGAGTGTGGCAAGAGCTTTCGGCAGATGTCGGATCTGGTGAAACACCAGCGGACACACACAGGGGAGAAACCCTACAAGTGCGGGGTCTGTGGCAAGGGCTTTGGGGATAGCTCTGCCCGTATCAAACACCAGCGAACTCATAGTGGTGAAAAGCCCTACAGAGCCAGACTGCCAGCCCAGGGCCCTCCAAAGATTCCTAGGTCCAGGATCCCTGCTGGTGAGCGCCCCACTATCTGTGGTGAATGTGGCAAGAGCTTCCGGCAGAGTTCTGACTTGGTGAAACACCAGCGGACACACACGGGTGAGAAACCCTACAAGTGTGGCATCTGTGGCAAGGGCTTTGGTGACAGTTCTGCTCGCATAAAGCACCAGCGAACACACCGTGGGGAGCAACCACCCCGGCCCATGGTGCCCCGGAGGCAGCCATCTCGAGCAGCCACAGCAGCTGCACAGGGACCCAAGGCCCAGGACAAGCCATATATCTGCACCGATTGCGGCAAAAGATTCGTGCTCAGCTGCAGCCTTCTGAGCCACCAGCGCAGTCACCTGGGGCCCAAACCTTTTGGCTGTGATGTGTGTGGAAAGGAATTTGCCCGGGGATCAGACCTCGTGAAGCACCTGCGGGTGCACACTGGAGAGAAGCCCTACCTCTGCCCTGAGTGTGGCAAGGGCTTTGCTGACAGCTCTGCCAGGGTCAAGCACCTCCGCACCCACAGTGGCGAGAGGCCTCACGCCTGCCCAGAATGTGACTGCACTTTCAGCCTCAGCTCCACCCTTCTCCGCCACCGCCTGACTCACATGGAGCCTCAGGACTTCAGCTTCCCAGGCTACCCCCTGGCTCCCCTGATCCCTAGCCCACCCCCCAGCTCAAGCCCACCCCCACCTCCTCTTGGTACCAGCCCCCCACTAACACCTCGAAGCCCTTCACACTCAGGTGATGGGCCATTTGGCCTGCCTGGCTTGGAGCCAGAGCCTGGGGGCCCACAGGCTGGGGAGCCACCCCCACCACTAGCCGGTGACAAGCCCCACAAGTGCCCTGAGTGTGGCAAGGGCTTCCGCCGAAGTTCGGACCTGGTGAAACACCATCGTGTGCACACGGGGGAGAAACCCTACCTCTGCCCTGAATGTGGCAAGGGTTTTGCTGACAGCTCAGCCCGAGTCAAGCACCTCCGTACCCACCGTGGTGAACAGGCTCAGCCACCAGCACCATCCACTCTCCTGAGGCCACATAACCCCCCAGGCCCAGCACCCATGGCCCCTCGGCCCCGAGTCCGGGCCCAGCCCTCTGGACTCAGCCAGCCCCATGTGTGTGGCTTCTGTGGGAAGGAGTTCCCCCGGAGCTCAGATCTGGTCAAACACAGGCGCACGCACACTGGGGAGAAGCCATACAAATGTGCAGAGTGTGGAAAGGGTTTTGGTGATAGCTCTGCTCGTATCAAGCACCAGCGTGGGCACCTGGTCCTGAGGCCCTTTGGGACAGGGGATGGTCTGGCAAGGCCCCTCAAAGAGGAACCACCAACAGGACTGGAATGATTGGGTACAGGGAGGGTGGAGGATCAGGAGACCAAAGGGATGGTATTTTGCCTAAGCAGAGAAGAAAGGGCCTGGGTGTTGGTGGGAGGGAAAAGGAAAGAAGGTGGGAGGGGAAGAAACTAGAGAATGGAGTGAATAGATAGAGAATGGAGACAATGATCTTGAAGCTCAGGAAACTGCGCCAGCTGGGCTCAGTCAGGACCTAGCCAGTGTGGTCTATATCCTCAGCTTCTAGAACACTGCCTAGTAGGCACTCAATAAATGCTTGTTGAATTAATGGTCTTAGCCTGAAGCCCCTTAAAAGAACCTTAAATTCCTGCTGCCTCTTAATTCCTCTCAATCTACCCTGAGAGACCAGCACCCTGAACCATAGTTTGTTCAAACCCTATGAGCTGCAACAAAGAGACTTGGAGTTTAGGGGGATAGAACTAGGCGGGGGCATCTTGCTGATCCTTCTAATGGGAGTACTGTACGGCAAGCAGTAGCCAGCGTCAGGCCATTGGACATGGTCTTAGCCAGGAAGAGCACTTGGACAGAGCCCAGACCTACCTGCCCTGGAGGACCCCAACCCACCCTGACAACTGGACACGCAGAATAGACCAGAGACAGCAGGAGAATTCTGCATGCCAAGCCCAGGTCCTGGTGGCCGTCAACAGAGATAAAGTGGCTGAAGTGAGGAAATGCCAGGGAAGCTCCAAGGCCAGACAGCCACATCTCCATGTGTTTCCTTGCCAATAAACTTCTTGTCTGAGGCTTGGACTCCTGTGTGTGTGTGTGTGTGGCGAGGGGTGAAAAAGGTGTCCAAGGGTCACCACAGCTGAAACCCTCAAGCCACATGTAAACTTGTGAGGGTCCCTTGCCCTCTACACCTGTCAAAGTGGGCACCTGGTTAAACAACCACCAGTTCAGTCAATGTGCCTAGACCTGAGGTTTCTTTGTTTGTTTGTTTTGTTTTTTATCCTCACCCGAGGACATTTTTTGTTGTTGTTGTTCTGATAGAGTGGGAGGGAGAGAGAGAGAAACATCTACGTGAAAGGTACATGTCGAGTGGCTGCCACCTGCACGACCCAACCAGGGCCGGGGACAAACTGCAACCTACGTGCCCTTAGCGGGAACCGGGTCTCTGGACCGCAGGCCGACGCTCTAACCGCTGAGTCAAACCGGCCAGGGCCAGACCTGAGTTCTTGATGCCTACAGGTGCCATCCATGCCATGCTATACAGTGAGACCCTTAAAAGGAAAATAGCCCCGTGCCATGGGGTGGGGTGTTCAGAATGCTGTTGCTATGGTGATAAGTAGGGGAGAAGTGTGGGCTGCTCTGGTACAGGCACAGAGGCCCCAACATTGTTGCTCTGCCTTCTGAGAAACCCCGCCTCCTTGAGACCCTTTTTTATTTGTCAAGAATCTGGTCATTTGGCTGCACATTGCAAAGAGAAGACAAAAGGGACAGATACCTCTTTGTCACCTGGAAAAGGCAACCTTATTTCCCAGCAACCCAAGTGTCTTTAGGAGCAGGACTCCAATTGCTAGCTTTTTCTAAGGAGGGTGCCAACGGGGAGGAAGGACTGAGGAACTGATATGACTGGCGAGGGTCAGGAATGACTAGGGCAGCCCTGGCCAGGTAGCTCAGTTGGTTGTGTTACTGGAAAGAGGACCTAGCCCTTGGCAGGTATGCCTAGAGCCAGCCAGTAGTTGTGTGGGTTCTTCATGCAGGAAAAATTTCACAAGTCCAGGTGATTATGGGGTAACATTTATTAAAGCAGTGGACAGTAAAACAAGAAAGGGCTTGGCATAGAAGAAGCAACAGGAGAGCCTAGGCTGGGCTGCCTTAGCTCTCTGGGAATTAGCCTGGGATGAGCTGCTGCCGCCCCATTGCTTCCCTAGTGGCAAGTCTTGTGGGGCGTCCCTTAGAGTTTAGAAGATGCATGCCTGTGGGGGAAGAAGAGGAGGGGAGGGGATGGCACAGAGGGAGGGCAAGTTCTGGGTCCTTTTTCTTGAGTTTTTTATCTGTTTCTTGCAGACAGAAATCATAGGGGAGTTCTCAGGGGACGGTTTCAGCAGAATATTCATCAGTTTTCTGGGTGTGCTCCTTCGGGGTCCTGATCTCCACTGACTGGTCTGTGTCAGGGCAAAGGGTCATTATTCATTGCAGCTGGTCCTGGTATCATCCACCTGGTTTTGCTGTTTTTCTGGGCCTGGAACTGAAATACATCTGAGGCTTAAATGTTAACTTTAGGGAAGTGACATTCTGTATCTGGCTGTAAATTACCGTCAAGTTTGTTCAGCTATCTGTCTCAGTTTCCCTATTCCACTTTTCCTGGCTTACTGGCCTGTCTCAGTTATAGTGTTGTCCCCATACTCCAAGGTTGCAGGTTCCATCTACAGTCAGGGCACATACAAGGAACCAATGAATGCATAAATAATCTATCTTCCTCTCTTTTTCTCTCTCTCTCTCACTCAAAAAAAAAAAAAAAAAAAAAAAAAGCTAGGGCTCTGGCCAGTTTGGCTCAGCGGTTAGAGCATCGGTCCGCGGACCAGAGAGTCCGGGTTCGGTTCCTGCTAAGGGCACGTACCTCGGTTGCAGTTTGTCCCCAGCCCCGGTTGGGGTCGTGTGGATGGCAACCACTCGGTGTAGCTCTCTCACATCGATGTTTCTCTGTCTCGCTTCCTCCATTTCTCCCTTCTGCTCTGTCTGAAGATAAATGCAGAAATGTCCTCGGGTGAGGATAAAATAAAAAAAACTGCTTTGCGACTTCACTGATTAGGTGTCTCAGCTGATCTGCATGCAGAAATGGTATCTAAATAGAAGATCTCTCAAGATCTTCTGTTGGACAGGCTTGTCTAGAAACCAAATAAGTTAGTTTCAGTGCGGTTCTTCCCAGTCCTCCCACCTTCTGCCGCATTGTCATACACACTCAAAACCCTAGAGTTTTGCATTCAGATCTGGGATTCTTGGAGGCTTTGGCACACATCACCATAGGCCTAAATGGAGGCTTTTGGGGGTTTTTGGAATATCCTCCCTGCTGGTTTTCCTTGTCTTGTCTTCCCTCCTTACCAGATTGGCCTTCAAGCCTCCCTGCAGTGAACTTTGTAAAATTACATCAGGCTGTGGACCAAGAAGGGGCCATATACTAAACCTGACAAGCTCAGGGGGGGCCTGCATAGTGGCCTTACAAAGTCAGAGACCTAAAGTAGCCATATAGGATGGTCTGAAATTTAAACTTTCTAGCTAAAAGCAGTTCATGGCAGCTAGTCATGGTCTAGGCCAGTATTTTTCCCTAAAAAAGGTCAATCTTTACTTAACTGAACCTGTGTGTCATCTTTTTTGCATCTATGATAACATACCTAATAACATGCCTTTGGAATATCTAAGCCCTGGTCAGTTGCCCAGTGGTTAGAGCATCAGCCCACAGGCTGAAGGGTCAAGGGTTCGATTTCCAGTCAAGGGCATGTACCTGAGTTGCAGGTTTGATCCCTGACCCGGTCAGGGTTGTGTGGGAGGCAACCAGTCAATGCGTCTCTCACATTGATGTTTCTATCTCTCTCTCCCTCCCTCCGTTCCAACAGAAAAATATCCTCTGGTGAGGATTAACAAAAACAAACAAACAAACAAAAAAGAAATTTCCTTTTTTCCAGACCCCTCAAAGCACAGCCACCAAGCCAGAGCAGACACCACAAATCCCCTCATTGTTATCATGATTATGTTAATTTTGACTGTTAACTATCCTATTACTACCTATATAAGAGAAATATGTGCCTATTTCTTTTACCTTTTTATTTTTTAAAATGCTTTTATTGGTTTTTTAGAGCGAGAGGAAGGGAGAGAGAGAGAGAGAGAGATAGAAACATCGATATCAGCCCTGGCCGGTTTGGCTCAGCGGTTAGAGCGTCAGCCTGCAGTCCACAGAGACCCGGGTTCGGTTCCCGCTAAGGGCATGTACCTTGGCTGCAGTTTGTCCCTGGCCCTGGTTGGGTCGTGTGGGTGGCGGCCACTCGATGTGTCCCTTTCACATCGATGTTTCTCTCTCTTCCTCTCTCTCCTTCCCGCTCTATCTGAGTAAAAAATGGAAAAATGTCCTCGGGTGAGGATAAAAAAAAAAAAGAAAAGAAACATCGATATCAGAGAGAAACATCGATCAGCTGCCTCTTGCACGCCCCCACTGGGGATCCAGCCCACAACCCTGGTATGTGCCCTGACTGGGAATTCAACTAGCGACCTCGGTGCGTGGAAAAAAACGCTTAGCCAACTGAGCCACACCAGCTCAGCTCCTTTTACTTTTCATTTAATCCCCAAAATTTCCCCCTTTGCTTTCTCTAGCCTCCCTAATCTATCACCAGTGAATTTCATGTAACCCCCTAATGCCTCCTCCTTTGATTATAATGTATAAAATAAGTTGCAAAACTGCCATTCTCTGGAGCATTTTCTCATCCGTTGAAATTTTGCTTCTCAGCAATCCTCATCAGTTTGGCTCAAATAAACTAAAAAAATTATCTACAGGTTTGAATGTTTTTTGTTTTTTTTTTCTATCCTCACCGGAGGACACTTTTCCATTTTCTGTACAGATAGAGTGGGAGGGAGAGGAAGAGAGAGAGAGAGAAACATCGAGGTGAAAGGGACACATCGAGTGGCTGCCACCCGCACGACCAACCAGGGCCGGGGACAAACTGCAACCGAGGCACGCGCCCTTAGCGGGAACCGAACCCGGGTCTCTCCGGACCGCAGGCCGATGCTCTAACCGCTGAGCCAAACCGGCCAGGGCTGAATGTTTTTTTTTTTAATCCTCACCTGAGGATATTTTTTTTTTTTTTCATTTATCTTCAGAGAGAGTGGGGGAGAGAAAGAGAGGCATCAATGTGAGAGAGATACATCGATTGGTTGCCTCCAGCACAACCTACACCAGGGCTGTGACCACACCACAACAGAAGTACATGCCCTTGCCTGGAATCGAACCTGCGACTCTTTGGTCTGCGGGCCAACGCTCCAACTGCTGAGCCAAACTGGCCAGGGCATACAGGTTTGAATGTTTCTTTATTTTAAATTTTTTTCTTTATTGATTTTAGAGAGAGTGGAAGGGAGAGGGAGAGGGAGAGATAGAAACATTGCTGAGAGAGAACATCGACTGGCCACTGGGGATTTGGCCCACAACCTGGGTATGTGCCCTGTGCCCTGACCAAGAATTGAACCAACAACCTCTTGGTGCGTGGTTTGATGCTCAACCACTGAGCCACACCAGCCGAGCTCTGTTTTTTACGTTGACATTTATTTGGCGTAGTGCAACAGAATTCCAAAGAAGTCCACCCAGGACCACCTTGTAGACTCGGACCTGTGCTTGATACCAGCAGGGGCCCAAGGTGCCCCACTGACTGGTTCTTTGTTTTGCATTGTGTGAACTTGAGTGAGTTTCCCTTGGAATTCCCAACCTCCTGGTTTTAAGGTAGGAGGCCCTGATTTTATTTGAGCTGTTTTTTTTTTCCCCCTAATTTTTTATTGATTTGAGGGAGAGAGACATCAATGTGAGAGTGACACATTGATAGGCTGCCTCCCACAGACTCCCCAACTGGGGCCAGGGATGGAACCTGCAACCCAGGTATGTACCCTTGACCAGGAATTGAACCTGAGGCCCTTGGGTGTGTGGGCCTATGCTCTAACCACTTAGTACACCAGCTACTTGAGCTGTTTTTTAAATCCTCCAAGGAAAGACCTGGCTGGTGTGGCTCAGTGGGTTGGAGTGTCATCCCATACAGGAA